TGTTTTCAAGTAAGTGACCAATCATGGCAATCACGTGTACCCTTGATAAAACAAACATGTCTACCAAAACTCACACAGGATTGTTACCTTAATCCACAGTCCCTCTATCCCCGGTCTGGAAACGGTCATTGTATTAGGTGTCAATTGGCCTCCTGCCCTGGCAAAACCGCATTACGGGTGTGGGCAAAGCATTGTCACGTGATCAGTATGTGATTTGACACCGTCAATGATGTGTATTTTTTTACAACTTAGTTGTTTATTCCAGAATTCGTGCTTTTTCACATAATTTTTTTAATCAGGATATCTGTATAAGGTCATATTTTAGCCGGCGAGTAGTTCTTTAATTCATCTATTTTACCAGCAGCGACGCATTTTTGCAACAAATTTTCATACCTTTACCCAGATATTTGTCGTTTTTGATTTTGGAGTGATTGAAATGAACTCTATTTTATTTACCATACTTCTCGGCGCGAAACCAATATTTGTCTTCGATTTTGACATTTTATGATCGAAACATATCATTAAAAATTGGTGGGCTGATTTGTTATTTGTCACACTGCATTTTATTAATGTTAAATTGAGCGACTTTTATGGATGCTTTTTTAGATCGTAAATGCAAATTGCGACGTTTTGAAGTGACAATGTACTCAATTCTGTGCTAAAAAAATCATTTATATACAAACATTGAAGCATTGTTATATACTTTTGCATAGAATAAAGTCATTAGTTGTTGTATAGTTGACTTGAACTGTTATGAACCCCCCAAGAATCAGAAATATCACAGGTTTTTCGATCGACTACGTTAACATGAACGACGCCATTTTGACAAGATTTGTTTAGCGATGTCAGCATATTGGCACGCAAAGTTTTTTCTCTATTAAAACGAAAAAATGAACATAATTCTCGATATTAATCTTTGCATTGCAGGAACTGGATGTTTATGAGCTGGTAGGCTGGTTGTGATGCATATCAGGGTTCAAAAAACCCAAATTTCATAGTGATAATTTTGTTTACATGTTTGATTACGTTGTGGTTGCCCGAATTTGAAGTCAAAATGAAGTCATACAATGAGGTATCGCTTTGCATGATGGTAAATTTTGACGGTATTGTAATCTGTCTGACTTCCTGACTCCCTCGGCCCGCGTGTGAACGGTTTGTTTACCCGCACCGCGGTTCGAGACAAAAGAACGCTAGTCGTTTCCAGACCGGGGATAGAGGGACTGTGCTTAATCCTAAAAACACTTTACCCTAAACCTGATCTACTTGTTACCTTAAGTCCGATCCACTTCTTACTCTTAACCTAATTGTCGTAATTAAGCTCATAACACAGACAGTTGCTTTGAAAATAAAAAAGTAACAAAAAAATTTTTTAAAAACATTTCCAGATTTTGTTTTTGTAATTTATAACCGGAAGTGGGTTAAGATATGGATGGGATGTATGTGTTGTGGTATAAGTTAGCAAGTTATTCATCCGTTGTAGTATATTAAACATATACTACACTGATTTGCATAATCTTATCGAAAGAATACACTTTTGATAAATTAACAATACAATTTACACTATTTCTACACATAATCTGGTTGCTATGGTTACAGGTGGAGTACGAAGAGATGAAGATTACACATGTGTGCATGCTGATCAAGAATACGTGTTACATGTAGACCTTAAGAGACTAAACAGAGCTGAAAGTAGGGTTAGTATAAGACATTTATCTTCAAAACATTGTGAAAACTTCTCTGAACTATGAAATATTAATCAGTTTACAGAGGTGTACACAGAGAAGAGACAAGTGAGGTATTTGGTTTAGTAGGATGAAATTAGAAAATTTTTCAATATATAATTAGATTAATTAATTTAGTCTAGCATAGAACATGCACATTGTGTGTCATGGAGAATTTTTGACGTACATGTTTAACCACATATATTGTTTAGACTTAGAGACATAGACCTTCACAGTATTAGAAGAGCATAATAAATAACGGTGCTTTTATACCAGACAATTTAATTTTTTTCTCTTCTTTTTCAAGACATTTACATTAAACTCACTGAGCCCAGTTTATTTCCCACTTACTTCATGCTTTTAACATTAAAATGGCTGTCATTCAGTCATCCAAGTGTGTCATAGCTCATTGTCTTACTTTTTTGTTTTTTTAGAAGGATGTGCGAGTTCATGCTCCAAGGTTTCCTAAAGCTAAGAGTGAAGGATGGTGGGTTGTGCTGGGAGATATAGAGAATAAAGAGCTGTTGGCTTTGAAGAGAATAGGACATGTATATGGGAATACATCTGTGCCATTATCATTCTTTACTCCTGAGAATACAGGTGAGTATCCATGGGTTGTGTTAAGAGATAACTATAGATAAAGGGAAAAGAATGCAATTTCAGAAGATGTCTTCAACAAAACAAATGAAAATTAACAGTTGAATTTAGAAAACATATAGCGTCATGAGCATTTTTGATGTTTCATACATGTACTGTGAGGCAGTTATGCTGCATTTTTTGGTCTGTACGTATTAACCTTTTCACCACCAATTCCCTCTTTGTCATCACAATTACACAAAATAGTCCTGTTCATAGTCTGCACTTTCCTTTAGTAAAAACTGAAAAGTTTGTCTGTTGGCTCCAAAATTCAGACTCATTTCCAGAAATATTGAAGTATTAAAATAAGAAACAAGCAGCCTGTCGGCTGAGATAGCTCCGCTGTTAGCAATGCACATTTCAATTAAAGAACTGAAGACATCATTAGAAAATGAACAATATGAATAGTATCAAAGCAATCGGACTTACAGTTTTTAACAAGAAGTCGAAAATATCACTTTTTACCAAAAATTACAAAAATATTCACCAAAATAAATTAATTAGAGAATTGAAGATATCATCACAAAACGAACAAATCTGAGAGAGGTCCACATGTAGTACCTATAGATGTAATATCAAAGCAATTGCACTTACGGTTTTTAACAAGAAGTCGAAAATATCAGTTTTTACCAAAAATATTCACCAAAATTAGAGAATTAAAGATATCAACATGAAATGAACAAACCTAAGAGAGGTCTACCCAAGGTACATATACACCAAGTATCAAAGCATTTAGGCTTGTAGTTTTCAAAAAGAAGTCGAAAAAGTAAAACATTGACACGGACGACGGACGACGACGACGACGGACAATCACTCATATGATAAGCTCCGCTCGACAAAGTCGACAGCGGAGCTAAAAAGTGAAGAAAAATTTGGGCGAGAAAGTCTGGTGGTGAAAAGGTTAATCAAAAACTTATTTTTTCACATTTTCGAGTGCATCTACAAATGAACACTAATCAATCATGGTTTTGATTTCAGGACGCGTTATTTATACGATTTATTTGATGAGTGACAGTTACCTTGGATTGGATCAGCAGTATGATGTATATCTGGACGTGATTGAGGCTGACATCATGGCACAGGTCAACACTGAAGTAATGATAGATGAACTTGGAGATTAAAATGTTATATATTTACATACAGGTTGTAGCTACTAGCATATTTTACATGGCAATGTTTTCATTGAATGGAATTGAAAAAATGAAATACATTCAGTTTTAGAATTGCAATCAAGATGCTGTCAGTTTCTTTGCTTTAGCAGTTGCACATAAATGACATTAACCTCATATTATATTACATCTGTCACTGTAACGCCATAAGTTACAGCTTGCCGTAATTTTGTGGTATTGCATCCTACCATTTTAGGAAACGCGAATTTCAAATATGGAATGATTACACATGTGAACAAACATGGCTGCCCCCAGGGTTTGACCGAACCCCACACAAAGAAGTTCACTAAATCTGTTCTAAACGTTTTTGATTTTGGCTTTCCCATGATGTATTCCTGGGAGGAAAAGATGTATAATAATAAGGTTATTACGAGGATACTGTAAAGTATGCACTCAGACAGTACGCCGTCGCATATACTCCCACTGTACTGTCTTCGTGCATACTTTGCAGTATCCTTGTAATAACCTCATAATATTTAGTGTTGAAATAAGTACTACTAAACAGTTTAGTAGTCAGCAATGAATTCTACAGTGCTTTAATTAGATCTGTTTTTCAAGATGAAAAATTGGATATTATGCAGACAACACTGTCATGAGGAATATTGATCAGAAATTCTTTTTATAATAGAGAGAATTTTGTAATACGGTACTTACATTACCCTGTTAACATGCTCATTTGTATGTTGTGATTTTTTTCGTTTAACTATTTTTTTTTTTTTTTTTCAACTGATATAATCCTTACTTAATTGACCAAACCAATCATTGGATTTTTACCTCAAGTGATGTTCTTGTCTGATTAGGTCATCAAATCTTGGTCATATTTCCATCCTCGTTCCTAGTGTAATGGTTGATGCACAGTACATATGTAATTTCTATTTTAAGATGCTTGAAACATATATTTATCACAACCTGGTGCAATGAATGTGGTGATTTATTTTATATAATAAGTTAAACATTATTTTCTGCATTTGTCAGTAAATATGAAGTACTGTAGAATACTTTGTTTTAGCTGGAATTAATTTTTGCTGAGAAGACTTTTTGAGTGTTTTCTATGGAATTTATTTTCACTGATTTTTGACAAGTTGAATGTAAAATCTGTACTAGAAGCTGCATTCCTAATAGTAGTCACACTTATTCTTTTTGAACAATTGAAAACAAAAAATTCTCCATTTCTCATCGATATGTGTAGATGCTCTAATAGAAGCTGCATCTCACCATTTTAATAGAAGTCGCTGCTTCTAATACAGATTTTACAGTACCCCTGGGTCTGCAACAAAACAGAATATTGTATGCAATATTTTTTATTGCAATTCAAGGACTGTAGTTCAACAATTCATCAATAATTGTGATCGGAGACGTTGGAAGAAAAAGCATTATTGGTGTTTTTGCACACAAATATATTCTTAGGCGATAATGTCATATTTTCTGTACTTCATTTTAATTCTACCAATATGTGCTTTTAAATGCTTGACGTTTCAAATTTGCAACCACTTAAACTTGTACCGGTATGTGGAATCATGGGAAAGAATGTAATTGTTTACCTTTACAACATTACAAATGAATTTTTGTTGAATCCTGATAGTGATAAATATTCGGTAGAATTCAAAAACGTATTGTGAAGGAATTGGTGCCGTTGCAGGATATGAATCAGTTCTTCTAATTCATGTGATACACCAGTGAGTTGGAATAACTTAAAAGTGATATTTATTAACAAAAATATAGAAAAAAAATAATTGTCTTTTTATTTCTACCCTCCAACAGTATATTAGTATTTGTGTTATACATATACAGCTCTCAACGTTATGCAAATTTCAATCCTTGATTACCTATCTTATTTCCGTAGCAATGTGAGGGGGGGGGGGGTAAGATTCAGGTGAAAGCAAGAATTCAAATTTTCCATTTATACATATTAAATATCCATTCCTGTTTGTTTAAAGAGAATGTTGAGAGGTTTGTTCTGCAAATAATTACCATTAAATTAGATAGTAGGTGCACTGAAAAATTACTGATAATTTTTGTTTGTTTTTTGTGGTACCCGGTAATTTTCATTTCTATCACACTGTACCATTGGGTTGTTTTCTGTGAAAATACCAAATTGAATGTAATTTCATATTAATTATCCCTGCCATATTATGAACGAAGCAAAGTATTTCAAAATGTATCATATTGCATTTAAATAAAATACTTCCATTAAATAAACATATTCGCATTGTCATTATAAAGAAATCATACAGACAGACAGACCCCATATTGTGATACTTGCAACATGTGAATCAGGCCATTGAAGTAGCAAATTTCTCTGTTCTCAAAATCCAATCGTCTCCCACAAAGTAGGTTGGGGTGTTCAGAGTTACTGAAACCTACAATATTGTATCTGGCTTGTATAGCCTACACCCTTCTATTTCCAGTGCGTGTCCCTGCCCGAATTCTGCCAATGTATAATGGTGAGGCAACTGCCGAATAAATGTGGAGTAAACATTCTTTTTTTCAAAAAATTAAATATTGTACTGCAAAATTAATTAAAAGTAAATCTGTTCAGATACACCAAAGTTGGGTTAAACCCAACTGTTTTCATTTAATATCAATCTTATTCAAATCCGCTTATCAGTTCCATGTTGGAACGCCCTCAATCACAACACATCTTACAACAATGTATTCTTGTTATACTGTAAAATGGTTAATTATTCACTGGGTTTAATTTTTCTTAATTCGCTAAATAGAAAATGCACTAAATTAAAACCCAGTGAATATGTAAAATTGAGCATAGAACACATTATCTAAATAATAAAACCATGAATTTAAACCCACTGTATATGCCTGTAATGCTAAATCAGTGAAATTTAAACCCAGTGAATATTAGTCATTTTACAGTAACATATAACATACTGCCTTAACCTATCATAGACCATTTGTCTCATGTGGGCAACCTGACTTTAGTATAACATTTCCCTGAACCATTTGGTGCTGTCACCAAAGTTGTGCACTAACGAGGCCCATAGGATGTATTGAGGCTAAGATGCGTTTAATAAAAAATCCAAACCATTTCATCTATTTAATTAGCTTTATTTTCTGAGTAAAATATTTCCCAACACCGAGCTGACATTACAAGTAAAAGAAAGAAGTTTTGTTATCAGAAAGTACAGCGTGTTGTCTATAAAAATATACTTTTCCAAAGTACAAGAAAGGCATTGACATGAAAGCATAGTTTTATTGTTCAAACTTTGAAATTGTGTAGCTAAGCCAAACAGAGACTAGATGAAGAACATTACAGTGAAGTCTAAACCGAACACCAAAAGATCTGAGGAAAATGTTTGGTTTACAAAGGTAATCTGCTTTTAACAGTCTCATAGTGAAACTTGTCTAAACTGAACACCGAAGAAACTGTGAAAAATTTTTCAGTTTACAGAGGTGTTCTGCTTATAGAGGTCTTACAGTGAAAACTGTCTAAACTGACCACCAAAGAATCTGAGGAAAATGTTCAGTTTCAAAGTCTTGAAGTGAAATCTGTCTAAGCTGAACACCAGAGGAATACGTTAATTTATATATTACCGGTATATACTGAACCTTTCTCCATGGACATGCATACTTAACATAGTCTATTGTGGAAAGGTTCAGTTTTACTTTCGCAGTATGCCATTAAAAATAAATTGCATATAAATGTACATAAGATATCTGATTGAGGAAATAATCAACAAACAAATACCCCTTACAGTAGACTGAAAAACAATTGCTGACAATGCTGTACTAGTATTTTGCAGCAATTTTTCAATTGCAGGTTCTTTCGGTTGTCATTTGCTCATTTTTGTTTGACAATCAAATCTTCCGCCAAGACTGGAATCTAAGGCTACCTTTTCATCAGGAGTGCCTCATTATTAGTGTGCAAAAAAAAAAAAAATGGCCACCACTAAACTGTGATTAGAAGCGGAACTGAAATATGAATATTTCAGTCAATATAAACAAATATGTGTCTGGTATATTATTTAGGTTGATATACAATCTACATATCTGACCATTTACAATAATGCTAATGCCCAAACCTGTTAAATTAAAGTTGAATATACAGTTTAATTAAACTGTAAATTCTATATTTACAGAGATACATTACTTGGGGTTTGCAACTACGGTGACATGATAGCAAGATCCCGTCACAATCTCGCTCTCGCATAAACGTTCCAACTCAGAAAAATGTGAATGCGCATGCCCGAGGTAACTAGGATACTGGAATGTCCAGGTGGATCAAAATAGCTGCTCACAATATGACGGATTACGATAACTATATTTTCTGTACATTTTCGATGTGCATGTGGTAATACATGTTTTATTGATTATTACAAACCGCCTATTTCAGAAGGTCGTAGCATCAGTCTTTCTATCTACGAGATGAGACTTGAATGGGATCTTGACATAATATCACCATACAATACTATGCACAGTGCAAACCCCAATTAATGTACCTCTGATATTTATAAGGATTGTATTTTAATTTAAAATCACAAATTCTACTTTAGTGGTGCCCCCAAAAAACATCTAAAAAGAACCCTGTGTAGACCTTTGGTAACCATTCTTCAATGAAGTAGCTTTAATATACCTTAACATTTCCCTGGTGTTCAGTTTTGACAGTTTTTCTGTGGCTATGACAAGTAAAACAATATTACAAGTAAATACCTACACCGGCAATTACTGTAGATGTTACAACACACTCTAAACAGTGTGAAGAGATACCTTAATAAGATACAGTTACATAGTATAAAGTGACTCTTCAGATGAGATTTATCATCAGTGTTGTTGCTAATGAAGAATGAAACTCAGCCTCTTGTCAACAACATATTTGAATTGATTTGATCTTCATGAGTAGAGAATTTCACAGAATTTTAACTGGGATTTTTTTCAAACTAGAGTCAAAATGAATTTTATGAAATATATAGTTCCTGGAACATGAATAAAATGAATGGCCGGAATTACCAACAAAGTTTGAATCGTCAATATCAGATTGTTAGTATGGTGTGATCCATTTAATTTTTTGCTCTGAAAACCGATTGCACACAGAATGATTAACAGTGGGACAATATGAATAGCTTCATACAGTTTTTTGATGATAGCAAAGACACTGATGACATTTCATAATCTAATATTAGGAAGTGTGCTCCTATAAATATCTGACACAGTACATGTATGTACAAGCATCTAAAAACATTCTAAAAATAATAATATTATTAGATATTAAAGCAAGAAACAAATTTGACACAGAGAAAATTGAAATGTTGTACTACAAATGTTACACTAACAAGATGATGTTGAAACAACCATGGTATTTCTAGACACCAATTCAGTACAATACTACTGTAAAATACTTTGTTTTCGCTTGGAATTAATTAATACCTTTTTGCCTATACTTTACATTCAACTCGTTAAAAATCAGTGAAAATAAATTCCATACAAAACACCCAAAAAGTCTTTTCAGCGAAAAATTAATTCCCGCTAAATTAAAGTATTTTACAGTATGTATTACATAAAACACACCAATACATACAATAAACTTGGAAAAAACATTTCTAAAAGTGTAAATTTATTTAAAATTACATATTTTAGAAATTATTGTTTTTTCAGAAATTTTAGCATTAGTTAGCACGGATTGATAATAATCCATACACAAAGCAGGTTGTTATTACAAGATGCATTTCATTTTCAAGAAACTTGTCAGATATAAAGTGTCCTATTCAATGCAGATAGTTACATACATTGTGATAATAAGTTTTTTAAAAACCATAAACTTTTTCTACATTTTCTCTGATGTCAGAAATGGTATTTTGATGATTTCATCCAAGATTTGTCGCTGTGCTTCACAACAAATTAAGGTCATTAGAATGAACAAAACAAAAAAATTTAAATAATATTTATTAAGTTCTTTATTAATATGACAAACAAAACATCTGATGATATATTTCCTATCCTGTTACATGTGAGGATACTACTCATCAAAACAATTAGACTATTTCAACTCTCTAACACACAAAAAAAAGACAGATTCATTTCTTGTTCTAAGATGTTCAGAAAAAATGGTACATTTTTTTTATTTTGGTGATGCACATCTTTAAAACTTACATGCACGATGCCTACTCAAACGTTGTGTCTAAAACAAGGATATTTTATACAACCACAATAAATTACCATGACGATAATTTACAAACTCTTGCATCTAAAATCTAATAGATTGTAATATATGAAAGTGGAAGACGTTATTAAAATCACTTCAATCAGTATTTCCTTAAATGGAGGGTATAATAGTATTTGTACTACTGAAACCAAAAACCAGTAATCTGGATTGATGTTATGTAGTGTATGAATGACATATACGATTGCATGCAATATGACTGGTACATACCAGTTATAAGTTTTATGATTTCCGGTTGCTAGTTATCTTGTCTTCAATCGTTAATATTTTGTATGCGAATGTGGGTTGCTATAATTTTAGGAATAGTTAAGATTTTACCAGGCCAGCTTCACGATTGTATCAAGCATGTAGGAACGTAAACTGCTTTTGTCAGGAGAAACAAATTGTGGGGAAGTCTGGAAAAATTTTGATGTTGTTTTACCGCTGTGAACATTTTTCTAAATATCCTCAGACCCAGAAAAAAAGAAAGATTAAATTTTTTGATAATTTTGTTTTTCTATATGCCAGTATTTTGTTAATATAAATTCAAATTGTCATTAAAATTTTTATTTGGATATTTCATTTTCTATGTCTTCAGTAGACAACGAAATTTTAAAAGAAGAAGTGACAAGCACAATTTTATCTGATCAGAAACATGGATTTTTTTTCTCGACCTAAGGGGTCATGTGAAATCACTGAATTAGTCATCAAATCATGAATGATTTAAATACAGCATTATATTTTGAATTAATCTGACATGAACACTGACTATTTCTGGGAATGCATGCCTTATTTGGGGGGGGGGTTGATGTACAATAGCCTAAAAGTCACACATCCTGGTATTTCTGGAGGTATTTCTGTTATCCTATAACTGTGATAATTTTCAATATTGTAATTCAATTTTTGCAAGTTAAACTCTTTTTTGAATTTCAGTGTGAACGGACCGACTATCGGGAAAATAAATTAAAAATTCACATTGGAAGTGAAACTGTACCCGTAGTAAGTACCAGGATGTTTGACCTTTAAGGAGCCAAAGTACCAGGATGTTTGACCTTTAAGGAGCCAAAGTACCAGGATGTTTGACCACTAGAGAGCCAAAGTACCAGGATGTTTGACCTTTAGGAAGCCAAAGTACCAGGATGTTTGACCTTTAAGGAGCCCAAGTACCAGGATGTTTGACCTTTAGGGATCAAAAGTACCAGGATGTTTAACCTTTAAGAGTCATGTTCAAGACATTTTTAACATTTGTGGGCAATGAAAATTTCAGGTTAAGTGCTGCATGTGGATGATGACATTAAGTAAGCAGGTTACGATATCAAGCTCCACCTTGCAGATTGAAACAGAGCATGTCTAGGTCAAAGTTCAAGGGATAGTTAGTAATTATTCATACATCGTTGATAGTATATTGTTTGCTATGGCATAAGTACAACTGATGAAAACAAATGAAATTATGTGAGAAACTAATGTTTGTGAGTTAGGTCAACATAATGAAACTTTGTTTTGGGAATTCGTAAAACACTGAATCAACTTTGATGATGTATCATCCTTGTGATTCCTCTGAAATCTTTAAATTTTGAAAATAATAAACCACAGCAGTACATTTAACAGTACATGACCAAATTTGGATGCACTACATTACATGTTGTACAGATAACATATTACAAGAAAGGTTAAAAAAGAATTTCTTGAACTAAAAAACAAAACATCACATATTTACATGAATATAATATCTAGCATAATTTTGTTATACATCAATGGAAGACATATTTTACATTTAAAATTATTTACAACATAATTTCTAAATATTGCACAATATACAGTTTAAACTTCAAGTTAGCCATTCCATTACACTATTAAAAGTCTACTTGCTTCTAGGCTACACACTGATAATGAAGCTAACTCTAAATCCCCATTCTGAAAAATTATTTACCACTACAGAAATTCAAACTTTCTTTAAAATTTGGCAGAAAATTTGCCAAGTAGTTACTTTTGTAAATTCTATCTCTCAATAAACCATTTTTCGTTTACTGTTGGTTTCTACGTTATGGCAAGAGCATCATCGTAGTGGCATCAAAAGATTGTGTGGGATTCAACAAACGGAAAACTATTTTTTAAGTACTTCCTCGCTTAGTAATGTTACCTAGATACACATTCGATAATGGTCAATTTTGATGAAGTAAATGGGTATCTGAAAGTCATATTTCTCTCTGAAAGATTGGTATTTCAACATACAAAAAAAAGAAATCCAAAGTCTTGCAGCAGACGTTCAATCTGCATCTTTCATGCATTACGGCATATCGCGCAGTGAACAGTAAATCACTGATTCTATGATAACAAGTGTACATTTCATTCACCAAATTCACATGCATATCAGTTCAAATTCATACTACATCTGCATTCTACTGTTTAATATAGCGACTCTCAAAAAACATTTTTGTTTCAGTGTTTGCCTCAGCAAATGCACACAACATCGTGTCCTTTCAATATATTTAAATGATAAGAATAAATGACTCCACAGCCACAAAAAAACAATTTTGAATTGAATAGCCAATTTTAAAGTGACATGATTGGTTGGTTCTATGTGATCAGCTAGCGCACTGGTGAGATTTTAATAATCAGCTCAGGGGTGGACCATTCAAATTTCTAGGGGTGGGGCAATGGCAAAAATGAAAAAAAATTAGCATAGGAATAAATCCTGCATGTCTATTACCAGTACACGCAGGGGAAATAAACAAATTACAGTGAATTCATCGTTGAAAAAAATTAACACTAAAGTGAAGAGAAAAAAAAATATTTTGTGTAGTTTTTCTGCCATCACCCCCAAAGTTTCTGATGGTCCACCCCTAAAATACCCTTAAAGTATCAATCAATTGTCTGAAACAAAAACCAAATAAAATAAAATAGAGTAAAATAAAATAACATATTTCATTCAATTGTTTCAGGGATGATTGGCACAAGAGGCTGTCAAAATGTTTTTATTTCAGTTCAGTTTCAACATTACTGTAACTAAATAAAATATTTCATACTACATTGTACTTTATATACACCCCTTTGCAGTAACTTGATAAAAACAATATAAACATCAAACTAATATGTTGAGGGCACTGTTTGCCTGGAAGCTAAAATATGAAAATCTCATAAAGCCATGTAGCAATTTTACCTTTAAAACTAATATCTAATCTTACCACCAAAGCACCTCATTAAAAATATTAATCAATCTAAGTTTGATATAATGCCACTTTAATCTGATTAATCTCCATCTGGTGCTGAATATATCAGACTTACGTCAGTGAGAAAAATTAATTATTTAAACTTGGGTATGTTTTCAATTGAATCTCTTAAGCATGTTTTATTGAATATAACTCGGGACAGCATTCAAAAATTACCAATTTTTTTTCTAGAAAAACATTCAGCAATTAATTTCTCAAAACTTGCCTATTTCACCCCAAAATGTGCAAGTTTCTGGCCCGAATATTTACCATTACCACTTTTTTTATTAATTCTTTCAATTCGTACACATTTTTTACCAGAGCATCCCTCTCTCCAAACTATTGAACATAACTACTGGCATGTATGATAAAAAAACAAAACAAGGAATACCCTGAAAACATTTCCTTGAAGTTAAAAAAGTTATGAATGTGTACATTTCACTTTCTGCACCGTACACTGTCTCATTGACAATCTTAGAATCCCATGACTGCAGCCTGTGTAACAGTACATCGTTTATTAATAAGAGATAAATACTGGCATATGTAGTACTGATATGTGTTGTTATGTCTGTTCGTCACTACCTAACCCCATAGATACCACTGTTGCTAGCTGTCTAGGCCAAGGTTATGAGTTATTATCGGCAACTGCCTCACTTCCAGAATATCTAAAGAAATGGTACAAAACAGAATGGTTTCAGTAATAAGTCATGAAAAATGTATATGTGCATTCTTAATTTTATTTTTTATTGCGGCCCTGTCAGTTTATTGCTAACCTAGAATGAGCATGAAACAGCCTAGTTGGAAACTAGTTTTATCTTGTTCTGACCTTAGACGGTCCACAATAATAATTTTAAAACAAGTCAGCACTGGTTTGTGATCTGGTTCAAACTGGAATTAATTTATTGTCCTTAAACTATCTTCCAATGCAGAAAAAAAAATATAAATAAATGTAGCATAATCAATAATCAAAAGTTCAATGTAAGATAAAAAACTTAATTTCCTTAGTTTTTTCCCCAACCCCCCTACCCCCCACTGAAACTTAATTGATAAATATTGATCACGTCGTCAGACTACATTCACCATTAAATACAAATTGATAATCGGACAGTAGTATGGCATAGCAGTTGGTTCTAGGTCCATGCCCTGAAATTGACCTCATTGGATGCACATATTTACACTTGGACCAAACCATTTTCTCGTCTTGGATGTTTGTTTTTTTCATTTTCTGTTATTTTTTTCCATGATTGAATAGAAAAAGAACGAACTACAAATACTCCATGATTTTTTTGACTTCATTAAAAAATAAAATCTTTTTTGAAGGATGGAAACTTTTTGAGGTCAAACCCCCAACCCCCCACCCACCCCCAAACTAAAGCAAATAAGTTTTTTTATCCGACATTGATCTTTTGACGTTCTCCCTTAGTGATCTAGTCTAAACCAGTTTCGGATCCAGTTAGAGCTAGTTTTAAACCTACCTGCAATGATTCTGTGCCATGGCAAAGTCACATAGGTGAGATATGTATTTAGATTCAGGGTCCTTGGTTTCCGCGGTGACCGCCTCAACCAATTTAGTGACTGACCAAGTCTACTTCTCCAATTACTAGTCTGGGAGTTATCACCAACCCAAGATGCTGCAGAGGAAAGCAAATCTTTCTTGGTGAAAACACAGGAGATAATATCAACTATGAAAACTGTGACATTGTGTAGCAGTGAAAACTTTACTGGTGTTCATTCAGCGGGAAGTCACAATGACTTTCGTGAGATTTTGTCACATATGCCGTTAAATTACGTGCAATATTATGAAAAATAATCGATAATCCTAATCTGTCCCAATTTGTAGATATTATAAAATTATAAAATATTTTCCAGCATGCCATGGATTATTTCAGCTTCCTGTTTGATTTGATTACTGGTACTAAGATTTTTCGAATTGAATCAAAACAAGGCAGACTTCTGGTGACACTTTGGTTTTTTTCCTTCAACATGTGGGAGTAATAACTTTATTGTTATTGAATCTTTGTTGAGATATAGATAAAATTACAATAAAGAATAAAATCATGATAATAAAAAAGTAAAAACCGAAAATTCAGTTGAGGCAAGAGTAAAATAAAGTACATTGCATAGATGGTAATATTACAATAAAATGTTACATATATATTTTTTTTTTTGATGGATCTGATACGAGACAGCTGGTAAATTTATTTATTCAAACTTTGTTCTCTCATTTGAAAACAACTGTAGATAAGTTGACCAAGTTCAATAATGCTGAATAGATGTTAAATTTGTTAAACAATGTGTTCCTTAATTTTGTGTAATGACTACATTGAAGGAGAAAGTGTTTCTCATCTTCAATTTCACTGTTTTGACAGATTTGGCATTTTCTGTCAGTCACATCTTTATTAGTGGGTATTCAGAATTCAAAAATATGTAGCATAATACTCCAGTCAGTAAATATCTCCGAGTGCAAATTGTCAAAATATATGAGAATATACAGAATTTTTGAGCAGGACCATCTCCAAGAGAGGTCATTAAGGCCAGACTTTTTTTATTCCTTGTTTTGCGAGTTTTTATAAGGCAATTTTTTTTCCATTAGATTTGTGTGATTCTCAAAGAATTGTAAGTGAGATCATTGATCGGAGATAAGAAATGAAATAAAATTTTATTCCATGTTTAACCTTGTTTTTCATCTGCGGGAGACTTGGGTACTTTGATCATGATACTCCCACGAAAATGCAACTTGAATTTGTTATGCGGTGGGCAGTAAAAAAATGAAGATAAAAATAATATGTTTTTAGATTTTGTTTGCGCTTACAAGGCGGGCGCGAGAAATTACGCTGGAATAAAATTATATTTTTATTTCATTTTCGGCTCCTGTTCATTCGGCGAGTTCGCAAAACAAGGGATAATAAAAGTCTGGCCTAAAAGAAACTAACCTTTAGATTCAAATTCATCCCAACCTTCATCTTCAGGACTTGAACTCTGATCACTGGAGTAACCGGACGGTAATTGATACTGCTGCACTCCGGCTAAGTTGTCGTTATACGACAAAGATTTCCTGATTTCTGGCGGGCTGGAAGACGCTGATGCTGGCTGACTACATATAGCACGTGGTCGGTGAAGAGGAGATGCACCCTGGTCAAATAATAACAGAAAAAGCTCTGAGATTTAGATTGAAATCACAGAATCAGTACTTCAAAACAAGAATAAATTGAACTTTGCAACACAGTCACACTAAGGATATAAAAAATAAGTACTTTACATGTGCATCGTCGCATACATCATATACTCTAAAA